CCGTCTGAACTTTTATTTTAACTTTTCTTATTACTTCATCGAATGTTAGGGGTAGATTAAATAGTTTGCCTACATTAGTGGCTGATTTGGCTAGTATATCAGTCTTTTCATTAATGGCAATGTTCTTGTGACCGGGTATCCAGTGCACAATAAAGTTGCTCGTGAAGGAATTGTCCATGTTGAGATGGATTTCGTCTGTCAAGTATGAATTTGATTCATTTCTCTTCAGAGCCTTTAAGGCGCCTTGACTATCGCAGAGAATTATAGTTTTACTGTGTCTTTTTATATTTGATATCTTAACTGCCGTTAATATACCTACAAGCTCTGCAAACACAGATGAGGAACTATTTTCAGTCCTAAACATATAGCTTAAGTTACTAGGGTAATCTAAGATACCTATGCCTGTCTTATCACCATTGATGGATGCATCAGTGGAAAGAATGTTCCATCCACCTGAGACCCATTCTTCAAGCTTAGCTTGATATATCGCATTGCATTCTTCGTTTGATATGTCAGTTTTTTTCCTGTCAAAGACTGACAGACAAATTAAGGCTTTGGGACTATGTTTGTACTTCTTGTCTTCATTATAATTGTCGAAAAGATCACTATATTCTTGGTACACAGCTGTGTAGGCAGTCTTTGCAGTGGATTTAATAACATCATTTTACAAGGTCGGGTTTAGAGACTTTACTTTCAGTAGTTCTCTGACTGTGAGAATTTTAGCTCTGTGTTTGGGAGGTAAAGAGCAAAAATCAGATGCGTAGATGTTTTGGGAGGCACACCCCGCAACGGCGAAGACAGTCCGTCTGTGCAGTGTTAAGAGACTTGCTGTTGCTAATGTTTAGATTCGAAAAACTAGTAATGGCATGTTCCTGCTGAGATCTGGTGAAGGATTTGAAGATGTTGGACGAAACCTTGGGTTTGAGTCCAGCTTTGATGGTAGTTACAGCATGCAACAAAAGCTCACTTTTGTCTGATTTGTCCCTGATTTTTGCAATGTGCAATTTGTCTGACAGGCACTGATGACCCTGCCTAAGAAGGTAATTGACTCCTTTATTGGGAAAGTGATATTATTGCATGTAACTGCGATGTTATCACGTCTTCCCCTACTGCGAAACATAACTGAGGATTTGCTGGGGTTGAAATTAAGGCCTAGATCTTGACTTAGAAGGTGAAAGTCGTTGATCTTTACCTGTAAGTTTTTGATAGAATCATTTATGTTGTTGCCTGTTGAGATGATGGCAAAGTCATCAGCAAATTGAATAATGGACATATGTGAATCATTGATTTGATGCAGTCTTTTGGTGTACAGATTGAAAAGTAGAGGTGAGAGACAGGAGCCTTGAGGCAACACACCATTGATTTCTTTACTGAAGTTACCCAGTTTTAGGAATCTAGACGAAAAGAAATTGACAATCCAGTCAGTATATTGCGTGGGAATGTGTTCATAATCCATTAGCATTTGTAGAGTTTGAAGATTAACGCAGTTATATGCATTATCAATGTCTACTACTACAATTGCAACGAATTTTCCCCTTTTCTTCTCTCAGGCCATGGTATTGATAAGATCATTTATGCACATGGCTGCTGATTTACCCTTTCGGTAGGCATAAGATCGTCTGGGCATGGTGTTACGTTTATCTAAGAACATATCTAGGCGACTCTTGATCATAAGATTGAGAGTTTTAGCCAATACCGAGATGAGGGAGATAGGTCGATAGTTTTGATAGATATGGAGATCCTTACCCCTCTTTGGGATGGGAATGACTTTGATTGTACGCCATTGATCAGGGACTCTACATTCTGTAAATAACCTGTTGTATTCTTGTAAAAGATTGTTCAGTGCTGGGCTTCTGAGGGCTCTTATCATGTCATATGTAATTCTATCTATTCCTCCCGCAGTGTTTCTGCCCCTATTGAGAACAGCAGACAGGTCACTTACGTTAAAGGGATTGATGTTGAGTGAAGCTGGCCTGACAGAGAAGGTATGAACTTTTGCCAACACAGAGACTTAGCTTTTAAGAAACTCAAGGTAAGGCAAGGACCATTCTGCATAAAAGCTGGAATTTACGGGATCATTAAAGGACTTAATGTTTCTCAAGAAAAGCCAGGCTTTCCTTGAGTTTGGCTTTTGATTAAGTACATCTATCTTGCGGGCGTAAGCGTTTCTTTTCGCAAGTATTACTGCCTTCTTCCATTCTACTCTCAGGTTAACCGCTTTTATGTAGCTTGTCAGACTTGGAGCTCTTTGTGCCTGGATCTGTGCTTCGGTATATTTAGAGTACAACAGTTGCAATTCTGGATTCCACCAAGTCTTGGGGCATCTATTGTTGCTCAAGGAGTAGGTGGAGGCCCTAATGTTGTTTGTGAAGCTTTCTGTGATGTTTGAAATGTCTCCTGATGGCGTAGCACCTGTTAGCCTTCGAAACAGTCTATTCTTAGCAAGAAAGTACTTGGGCTTCTCTTTGCACTCCGGAATTTCTATGGAAATAGGATGATGGTGACTGCCTCCAACAAAAATTGAATTGCAGCTCCAGGTGACATTATCGCTGCAGTTTGAAAAGGTCAAATCCAACACTGAGCCACTTTGACTGTCGATGTGACGTCTAAAGGTGCACTTTCCATCGTTCAAACAATTATAACCGGAGTTACTCATGTAGTTCTCTAGGAATCTACCCTTGGCATTGGTGACATTGTCACCAAAGCAAGTGTTTCTGGCGTTAAAATCCCCAGCAAAAATCACATTGCTCCTGCCGTCCAGTTTTTCAACTATGGTTTAAATAGCATCTTGAAAGGTGTTGGTCTTCATGAAGGGTTCAAAGTAGACAATGATGATATTTTTATTGAGGTTTGATGTCTTGGCGATGATAACATCGTGCTCTGAACTAAAGGCTTCCTTTTTAAGCTTAATGCCTTTTTTAACAGCAATGGCTACACCTCCGTAGCCATCATCTCTATGTTTTTCCAATAGATCGTAGTTGATTAGATTTCTGTATGACATATCGTGGGAGAAAACTTCTGAGAAGATGGCTATGCCATATCCACCAGAGTTAAGGGTGTATTCTATGTAATTTTTGTTGTTTTTGAGTGATTGTACATTAAGCTGTAAAATCTTAATGGACATATTAGTGGATGAGGTTTGTATTGTTACCAACATCATGTTTTCTATGTTTCGAACTGCTCTGTAGGAATTTTCCTTTGATGTTTTGAATTATTTTAGTTCCGTTTGCTGACTTAAGCAGTGTGGGAGTGACTAATTCAAGAATTTCCTGAACTATGCTGCTACTGACACTGCTAATAGTGTCATGATTTTCCTTTCTTGGGAATTCATATGTATGATCACTAGAGTCATTTGTGTATGACTCCAGTGAGTAGTGCGGTTTTTGTTTCTCAAAGCCTACAGTGCGTTGAATCACTCTGCTGCTATATGAATGTTTTTTTAATACCTGGTTGGCTTGTTCGTTATTGCTCATAACTTGCGGTATTTGCTCACATGAATTGTTGTTGTTGTTATTTTTATTTATCATTTGAGGAAAGTTTTTGTCATAGTCTCGAATCTGATCATAGTTTTGTTGAAAGGAAAATTGCTTTAGAGCTTCCTTTCTGGCCAGTTTCTTAATGGCCATGATTTTATTTATGTCGCCTTCTTTGGCCCACACCTGACACTTGTTCCTCTCAAACGCATTGTGCCCATCACCTTGACATAAGATGCACTTGTTGGTATTGCAATTTTCGTTGCACGTGTTATTGCCACATTTCTTGCATCGCTTTTGTGACTTACAACGCGAGGCTGTATGACCCAAGCGACCACAGTTATAGCACTGCCTAATCGCAGGAATGTAATGGGTAACCTTTAGCGAGCAAATGTCATAAATTTGAACGGACGATGGAATTTCGGTACCCGCAAAAGCAATTTTAACTGTCTCGGTTGGGACGAACACAGATTCATTCATTTCATTCTTTGTTTTCTTAAAAGTTCTTTCAACTGTGTTTATCTTAATTATTGAATTAAGATTGTCCAGCAGTTTCATCTCTGAGATGTTTGTTGGAATACCCCTGATGACACCCACAGACTCAGTGAAATTTTTCGGAATAAATATATCGATGTTTAATTTTTTAAATTCGTCGTTTAGAACCATCTCATTGGCTTCATGAGGGCCAATGAAATAAAGTTTATAAAGAGTGGCAGCAAGATGGGTTATGCGCTTGAGACCAACAAGATTGATGTGTCTAATTTTTTCAAATAAGTATAGGTCGCTTTTAATATTTTTGTTTTCAAACAAATTGCTTCTTTTGGTCGATAGAAGTACACTTGCCTCTCCTTTGAATGAGTGCTCATAAAAATTAATCTCCCTTTGTTTTTTATCGTCTGTTTGCAAATTAAAACACCGGATCAGAGCACACCTTCTCCCGAGCAGGGTTGGTGTTAATCTCTTTGAGAGAACAGTGTGGAGACTTAGCAGCGCATACACGGCTAGCGACCATAACGCTATCATCTGCAGCATTGAGGCCCATACACAAGGGACAGCTCACCAACCAAGGGCGACCTCAATGCCAGAACCCTCAGGCCAGATATCTTCTTGTCAGTGCTGAGCATTCCTAAGGCCCTGGGAAACGCAAAGGACTGCGCAATCAACCTCATCGGCGCATTGACAACGGCATGTAGGGGCAAGCACAGGGCAGCAAACAAGCCACTCTCGCCACCGCGAGCCGGTCTTTGGTGGAGTATGGAGATTTCCGAGGCTAGCAGCAAGTGCTAGGAGACGCTAGGAGGAGTGTAATTTTCTTTTTGTGGTAGAAACACCAAAACATTCCAGTAAAAATAAAAAAAAAATTTTAATTAATAACAAAAAACAGAAAACGTCGTTGCTTAATTCTGTCTCAGCCTACCATAAATATGTTCGAGGGAACTCACAATGTAAAGTATTTTTTAAAATTGATCCAGGTCCTTGCATCATTTCGTTCTTTAGTGAACTATTTTTACTTTTATTTTTAGTGATATTGCAGAAAAGCTGCTGGTATTGGAAGAATGGTCTTTATCGTCGGCTAACAGAGCGGGCTGCTTGTTAGTGGGTTACGAGGCATTCCGTACACTTGTCTTTTATCACTCATATAAATATCGAGGGAACGTGACTTCATCAAAATTAGAAAATGTTCGAGATAAAGTTCATAAATACCTATTGCAGCCTGGTAATTATTTATTTATAATGCATAAATTTAAAAATAATCATTATTTGTATCTTAACAGGTGCAGATTTAGTCGTTTGTGATGAAGGACATATTATTAAAAATAGCAAATCTGCCATAAGTCTTGCCGTATCAAAAATAAAAACGCCAAAACGTATAATACTAACCGGAACGCCTATACAAAATAATCTTAAAGAATGTAAGTTTTTCGTGATAACACTGTGCGACAAATGGTAAACTTTTGAATGTACTTTGTACGAGACAAATATTAGGTTATAGGCCAAGATGAGAAGATCACTTCCTCCAAATTATAAAAAAAAATTCAAAACACGCAATTTGGTAACTGCTTGCACTCTTATAATTTTTACTCAAAACCTGTAGCGCGGATATCCAAAAAAAGTAATAGGCTGATAACAAAATTGTATTATCTTTTACATGAATTTTGATTCGAGGTGACAAAATGGGTATATCTGAATATATAGCGACTCAAAGTTGAAGTTTTGTACCATTTTTAATGTTTCTATAACGTTAAAACAAATTTTTTTTTTTTTTTTAGACATGAAACTTTTGTGACATTTATTCTTAACAAAGTAAGCTACTAATAAATAAAATTGTCCAAAGAATACCAACGGTACGATTTTTTAAGAATAGGGGCTTATAATCCTGGAGAATATTGTTCAAAACAATGAAACCATTTTCAGACTCTTAAGTTTAAATTTGCATTATTAGGTCGACGTAAATTCAAATAGTAACTGCATATTATAGTCCATTACGAAAATGGTACCATATGACATCTCCAACGAGCTTTTCCAAAAGCCGAGTACGTATTTCAAATCATACAAGTTTTTTTACAATGTAATCAGTTTTGTTTCGCACGAACCGTTCAACCGTTCCTTCCTCTTCCTCGTCTCTACAGCTACAGACATCGTGGTACTTGTTGCCACATATTATCGGTTAGTCGCTTAAATTGCTTCTTTATAATAAGCTTACACGTGGCCATGGGCATAGAAATATTCTCCTTGTCTTGGATGAGGGGGATTGTAGTGCCAGATCTGGCCAGCTCATCCGCTATGCAGTTGCCTTCAATGTCCCGCTGACCCGGGACCCATAACAGACTTATAAAAAATTGCTGAGCCATCTCATATAGAGATTTTCGGAAGTTTGCTACGGTAGCCGAGTTCGATTTAATTGCATTAAGTGATTTGATCGCAGCTTGGCTGTCACTAGATATATTTAGATGAGTTGCGGTGACGGAAACTGGATGCAGTTCAGAGCTTCCCCGATCGCAGTGACTTCTGCCTGGAAGACACTGCAGTGGTCTGGAACTATGAAGGAGTGCCTTATGTTTAGTTGCTCGGAGTAGATACTCCTAAAACTTTATTTTCCAGCTTAGAGCCGTCTGTAAAGATTTGTATAGCTCCGTCTGAGCCAGGTGGTCCCTGTGTCTCTGTGAGGGATAATTATTTCAAAAGGAGTATCTGGATACTCCCTCGGAACGTAGTCGTCCGTTTTTGTGGGGACGATATTGTTTCCAATTAAGATGGATGAGTGACCAGTGTGCTGTGACACCCATTGGTCCGAGTCTCTTAGACGAATTGTAGCCATTTCTACCTGTTTCTTACCCGCTTCTTACCTGCTAGGTCAAAACTGTAAAGGCATAATATAGCATTTAGCCAAAGACAATATAAGTATAAGATGCGTAACGCCATACGAAATTTCTGCACACGAATTTTCGGGGCTGGCTCTAGAGCTGGCTCCAGGCTCTCTTGAAATTTTTTAGAGAGAGAGAGCGCTCTTGAGCTCTTGATTTTCAGAATTTAGAATTAAAAAAAAAATTTTACATATTACATTTTTTTGCTACATCTGTTATCTACATCTACATCTACAATGTATATTTTACATCTAACATGTAGATTATAGATGTACTATTCATATTCTACATCTTTTCCGCTAGGGGTTGCTCGCGCACTGAACGCGGCAGAGTGTGCGAGCGAGAAGGAAAATGAGTTTCGTTGTCGTTTGCGGGAGGGGGGGCAGGGGAAGCAACTGAAAATTAATTTCGTCATTCTGGCTATAATTATGATCCGATCTAATTCAGATTCAGCAGTCTGGTAGATATGGGCATTCTCTACGATACTGCGTTTTTAGCTTTATCGTATCTTTAAAATTGTGCCTGCCACAGATTTTCGTCCTTTGTGGGGGCGAAAGGGGGCGGGGCGAAATTCTGAAATACACTTGTAGCAGTGGGATATCACATGAGTCTGGAAACCAAATTTGGTTGCCCTAGCTCTTATAGTTTCTGAGATCTAGGCGCTCATCGAGACAGACAGACAGACAGACAGACAGACAGACAGACAGACAGACGGACAGACGGACAGACAGACATGGCTATATCGACTCGGCTATTGATGCTGATCAAGAATATATATACTTTATGGGGTCGGAAACGTTTCCTTCTCTGCGTTACACACATCCACTTTTACCACAAATCTAATATACCCCTTAACTCTTTTTTGAGTACGGGTATAAAAAGCCAACACGCGGGCAAGGGATAATGAAAACCACGACAAAAGCACAAAAGTTGCACAACGGAGACAAGTAGCCAGAGGAAGGTCTGTAGATGGTAGCGATCCAAGCCCAGGACCTAGTCAGCAACCAGAACATGCCACACACCACCCACATACACACACACACACACACAAGCCAGGCGACATTTACATGCAAATTATGTACAAAGGAAAACAAGAAACAAAAATCGAGGAAAAATGAGATGCAGAAGGTTAAGGGTTAAAGGAGGCAAAAAATATGCCCTTTTCTTTCGATATTGTAATGAAGGAAATGCACAGCTTTCAAAAAGGTCCATGGATCGATCGGTTGCAATCGAAACGTTGCTGTCGAGGCACAGGTAGGGATGAACAATCTGTGAAGTATATTCTCTGGCATCGAAACAGCTGTGCCATAGATTTAATGTATTTCCAAAAGCAGTTTTAAGCCACAATACCTATCGCACGCAACGCATGTAAAACATTAAGAGAGTTTTAAAGAATCAATCAAATCAGTTGTTTAGATTGATTCGACATTTATAAAACCTTAACTTAATCTTAATGTTTTCTTGGAATCTTTAACACGAATACCCCCATCATATCTACAGTGAGACAAAATTCCTTGAAGCCATATTTACTACCCCTGAAGAAGGGTATTCTGGTAGGAGCAAGAACAAAAAAAAAAGAAACGAAACCCTGCCCGGAACTCTTGTGTTTCGTGTTAATGAGATAAGCATGCAAATGCGCTAATAGAATGAGCTGCTGCTTCTGCCACCCTGCCACCCTGCCACCCTACCACCCAACCCTGTTAGAGTTTTCCCGCCACTGCCATGATGCCGCTACTTTATTCGCTGTGGCTGCTGTCAGCAAAATGGGGGTGTTGCCCCCACGAAGAGCAGTCAATTAACAAGGCACTGCTGCTGCAGGTGGGTATACGTAGTGGTGGCAGGATGGGAAAGTGGAGTTAAGGAGCCACTGCCACTGCCGCTGCTGCTGCCGTTCATCATCGTTTATCTTAATAAACCGCGCACTCAGTCAGACATTAAGCTATGCGAAAAACCAAAAAGCATCCAAAAGTCCTTTGGAAAATTGCTTAATTTGCAGTTGGCACTCGGGCAGGAGTCGAGCAGCAAGGATTCTCAGTCAAGAAAGAAATCAGATTCAGTCCAATAGGGTGGAGGAGAGTGGTGTGGAGGGGAGGGTGAGGTGTGGCACTGTAGGAGGGTGTGGCAGATTCAGTGCAGCGTTAACGCTAACGTGGAACTGCGGCACGTAAAAATGTTGATAAAACGCACAAAAGCCAGTTGATGATTTCAATTTATATTTCCAAGTGGAACTCATCTTTAGCCCGAGCATCAGAGAACCAGCGTCAGAGCCAGAAGAGCGGGCGGTTGGGGTGGTGGTGGCAGCAACTGCTGCTGTAACTGTAACTGCTTCCCCTTCCACGGCACCGCCAACATGTAGCGAATTTGCTGAAGCATATCACGTGCAACATAATTTTTCCAAGCGACTTGCCACTTGCAAGGAGTATCAGCAGCAGCAGCAGCAACAGAGAGACAGCGGCGAAGAGAAAGAGGGATGGCCTGGCGACTGACATGAATCCTCTGTGTCGTGCCCCCTCCTCCGGCCGTCAGATTGGGGGGGATGTGTGGCATTATGAGCGTGAAGTAGACTAAATAAATTACATTTAAGTGCGAAAGGTGTTACGTACAGAACGAAAAAATATAGGGAAAAATGGAACTGTAAAGGAAAATCCAGGCTAAAGCGGCGAATAACATGTTTCTAAGGGATATCAATTTTTTCGCTTTAATATTAAGCGAAATTAATTTTCTTAATAATATTTGTATGACTTACTGATTTCCAATTTAATTTCAAAAAATTTATTTGCTAGGATTTCCACATTAATCCCAGACCAGATTTCAATCGATTGATCCTATAAAAAAAAATAAATGTTAGATAGAAATTTTGGTAGATTTAATCTCGGAATTTGCATCACAACTTCCAAATAACTTCCAAGAAGACCCACCATTATTCAGTGCTGGATAACATCTAAAATATATGAGACGACAAAAAGAAAACCCAAGATCAATAAGCATTAAATTCAATTTTCAACTTCAGAAAAACTTTGCTCAAGAGAGAAATTCGCCAATTTTCTACAAGACTACACCTGGCGACACCTTTGGCGGAAATAGTTAAAAAATAAACGCTAATAACCTTAATATAAGTGGGGGAAAAGTGCCTTTAAATATGTACTGCCTCTTTCCATCTTTAAAGTTCTTATAGTAGATGCGTACCACGCCCACACCCAAAGCCGCCTACAACTTATGCTTGAAGTTGGGGCGGGAAATGCATTTGGTTCTTGGGAAAAGTTTTTGGCAAGCAAATGGAGCAGGAAACAGCTGTCCCTTACATATCTTTTGCATATCAAAAGTATCGACAGGGAGGAGAGAAGAACGAAAAGGAGCAGGCACACAGAGTCACATGCCCAATCTGTTGTTCTCCCACTCCAACTCCCACTCTATCTTTTGACTGCACTCGCACTCTCTTGCAGCATTCCAGTTAGTAAGTGAAGTATATGCAAAGTTTGTCTAGTGCAAGCGAGATGGCTAGACACCCTGCTTGAAATTACATTTCGGGCGCTCTCTTTAAGTACTGGCCAAACGAGGCAAGCGGCTGCTGAATGGAATAACCACGATAATTGTGTATACTTGGGGATGAGTGCATTCAAATGATTATGAACTTTGAGTTCATATCAAACACATACATTA